ACACAGATTAAAGTCACCGCTGTTTGTACTGTTTATTATCCTCAAGCGCAGACCATCATCACTACGGCCATTTCATACTTACCCTCGAGGATCGAAGTTCGGATCCTTCGTTCGTTTGTACTCTTGCACTTTTGTTTCCAAAGAGCGTCGCAAATCAGTCAACTCAGTCTGCAATCGGGACGAGCGTCGTTCACATTCATCCGCACGGTTACGGCGACTGGCTAACTCCTGCCCCTTGTGTGTCATACCTGTATCAAGTTCTTGAAGTTGTGATTTTAACCCGTTAACAGCATTCCGTCGTAACTGAGATGGAATGATAAGGAAAAAAAGAAGTTGTCAGATAAGGAAAATGCATTTAAGGAAGCTGATTTAAAATCAAATAAATGACTTGAACGGATGGTGAATATCAGTAAACCAAAGAAATAAGTGGGTGTTAGGGGAAATCAAACTAGTGTAGTTCCGCTTTTCAAAATAGATAATCGTACACCGTTCTGATCTGGTTTCGGTAGATAAATTTCGAAATAAATGTATATGCCAAAGACTGCAGGCACTACTATGGTCAAGACACAGTATAGAACAACAGTTAGGTAAAGGATTATGGGGAGTGAATAAACACACCTCTGTTAGAGACAGGTGTATTATTTAATGCCAACGGTCCTGATGCATAAAACGAACTGTTTACACCCTGTTCGTATGCGTATCAATGAATATTACTGTGATGGTTCATTTGTTATTACATCAAAAGTGCAATACCTCGTTCTTTCTCCTAACACTGACTCTTAGAGGATGTATCTATCCAAGTATCTACCCAGCAGACAATTCATTTCCCGTGGCTAAGACATTGCCACCAGAGTAAAAGAATAAAAAGCCAATAACCCGATCTAGCAGTTTGATATACCACGAGCGGCTAGCTCACCTCATGGAGGTGGAGAACCCTGATTCCTATAACCCAGGGTACAAACGGCACCAGGACGAGCTGATCGCGCGGATTATTGCTTGGATTGGGTGAAAGGGTGTGTTGAGCAGCCGCTTCCAAGAAAAACCGTAGCACGGACAGTGGTGTGTAGATGTGACCATAATACATACAAACTGAATTGTCATAATCTCAACTGGGGAAAAACGGTACCGATTAAAATTGAACACGCAAAACCTAAAGAATTATGCTTTAATATAAAGAATAGATAAGATTATCTGTATGATCAACCACGCCGAGTTCAAAACTGATTGAGCAGAAACTAGTACGGAAACATGATCCGAACCGCATGAATAGATCATGAAGGCTGAATGGGAAAATTCAAAAAGTAGTCATGTACTACTGACAACTCACTTCCCGATTTGCTTGAAGTGTTTTGCACTGTTCCGCGGTCGGATTCGTATCGACCCCAGTGGAGACACGCAAGCTCAACTGTTCATGTTCTCTTTGCCAACGCGTCAATTCAGCTTTGGCTGCCTCGACTTGCTCCGTTAGCTCCCGAATGTCCCGCTGATATGTGTCTCGTTTCTGACGCATCTCATTGATGGCAGACTTATGCGCATCTACCTCGTTCTGTGCAACCATGAGACGCGCGTCCAGCTCACGACGACGCTGCTCCTGAGCCGTTGCGGATTCTAACAAACTGGCCCGATGAGCAATAGCCTGTTCTAGTGCGGTTTGTGCGTGACTTTTCTCTCGTTTTAATGCATCCACACGTTGTTTCTCCGCTTCCAATTGACGCTGCGCTTCGGCCTCCCTCCATGCCTTTGTTCGTGCCTCAACGGCTTGGCGACGACGAACTTCCCGTTGTGCTTCCAGTTCCCGCATTCGTTCCGCCTGTCGTTCAGCCTCGATTGCCGCCTGCCGTTCTTTCTCCAGACTGGACGATTGCGCAGTTGGTAGTTGAAATAATGAGACATACAAAGATCACCGAGTTCATTGAACAAATAAATGGGAGAGCAAAATTCGAGTGATTTTAACTCAAGCTGTTTATATATGGCTGTTTACATAGTAGAGACCAAAGTCTTGTCTGTGGGCTTTGTTCACGATTGTAATACATTGTGTACAGAACGATAACGCAGCGCTTTTAAGCGGTAGTTGATATGCTTATAATGTATTAGATTTCATCTATGTCACCAAACAGTCAATAAGAGCTATGTAGTTTCAGTTAGTGATCGTAGATGTAACAGTAAATAAATGGTAGTTCATATTTACAGTACTATCTGAGCAGCAATTCATAACGGCAATGGTAGTTACTTCCTTGACTGTTCTTCGCGCTACGTTATGCAAAGAATACAGTATTTGAGCATCCTTGCGCGGTAGACGTGGCGGATTCGTTTTGAATGAACTATCATTAAGACATCGATGAAACAGGGCGGAGATTAGTAAGCATAACCAATAAATCACAGATTGATAAGTGGTTGGAACAGACTTTTTGGGTGTTCAAGTCAATGCGGGAGACTACTACACGCATTGTGTTTACGCTCCAACAACCAATGCGATTCTACCGTAATTGAATGTTCGGTCATCGGACTCGATGCACACTTTTATTACTGTTGTCACTGGACATAACAGAAGGATGTGTCAAGTACCCATAAAGGCGATTGGGAAACTCAATATGCACAACGACGCTGGACAGTAAAGAGTACCCGGGTCTGTGTATGTGGTATAAATGGGAAATAACAACGACATTTGGTTTGAACTGTTAACTCATAACACTGTTGATGGCATGGTATAATGAAACATTCCATTTCATTTAGGATAGATAACAGAGATTGAATAAAAACTTACACCGAATGCAGATGCATATGTGAAATAGAACTCTTTCAGGGAAACATTAACGTACCCAAGCAAACCGAAACTTCATGGTTCTGATCCCGATAAAAGAGGATGAATTTCCAACTTGCCCGGATTTTTTTGCGATTCTTTAGGTTGGTGACATTGTAATCTGCGTAAGCATATGTTAATGATACTGCCGAGTATAATTTACAATGGCGCTCACACATGTACCCATTGTATATGCACATCTAGTTTACTTGCTTTACTTCCTTTCTGTATCCTGATTCTGACGATACCATTTGCTTCAAATTTTTCGGCTTACCTCTTTTTATTAGTCGATCACATGGAAAGCCAAAAGAGAGCTACCAAGGGGCATGGCAGTGTAGAATTTATGGTTGTGAAAACTGAAAAATACTTATTCATTATGTCATGGTTTATCCATGTGGTTGAGTAAGTAGATCATTTGGCTTTTTACATTTTTTTTCTGACACAACAAGACTGCACCTTGATGCGGTGTGATAACTTGTGTACCTCCATGGCCCTGCGAGCAGGATGGCTTTTCACAGCAGCAGATCCAATTATGCCTGAAAGGTTAACGGGTAGAGGCCAAACGAAGCTCAATCTCACAAGGCCAGCAGCTTGGGCAACTCTTGCCTTCCGTTGACTATCCACTCTCGCCCTGTGGCGGTCACTTCAGCAAATAAACGCGGTGAGAGGCAATTTACCGATCGAAAGCCCCCGATAGATGGACGTAGGAGCAGGATACCTGGGGCTATCGCTCGACGGTAGGAAAAGTCTTCGCACTTTATTGGACAGCTACCACTCACCCAAGCTGGGCAGCCCTGTCAATCAGCTGCTGTTCCATCAATGTTCTGCCTACCTTATTGGGTGCATGACGCTAATGGTCAATCCCGAAAAGCGAACTGTCAATCAAAGCACCATCGAACAATACATTGAATCCAAACCTAAAGAACTTGCGTGACAGGTCTCTGGAAGCTCCCACACGGATGCTTCGGTCGGGCTTTCAAATGGATTTGAGACCCACTGCCTTGTGGGTTAAACTTAAGAGTGAAAGGCTCTAGTCAGGGTTTCCAAAGAAAAGCCTCTTCGTCGATGTGGGCTACCGCGAAGTATTTCATGGTCTAAAGTCATAGGCATCCATTTGGAAAACTCTCTTTCAAAACTATCCGGCTCCTCCATTCATTCCTAGATCTTCGGCGATGTCTCCTGCTTACGCCACCCATCAAATATCACTCAGCGTTTTACCAGCAGGGTCAAACAATCAGAAATTATAGGGTTGTTGAAGCCAAAACCTACTTCCACTTAGCCGCATTAAACGCCCGCACATTCTATCAGATCGATCAACAAGCTGCCTTAACTAGAACCCTTGAAACATTCAATTTAGACGTATGTTGTGTCTCCGAAACACGCATACAGGACTCTAATCCAATCATCTACCTGCATTCTGATGACCCAACCTCATCTTCACGCCTCACTCTTCGTGTGTCAGGTGACTCGGCATCCGACGCTCGTGGTTTTGTTGGTGTTTGGGTTGCGCTAAGTGGCAAGCGCATCGCTTCTTGACTGGATTCCAATCAGTAACAGACTGTGCGCTGTACATCTCAACGGTTCAATAAGAGCCAACAGCTGCAGAGCGAAGCGTCGATGCTTATCCGTCGTGTCTATGTGTACAGCTCGCCTGAAATCAAAGATGAAGTCTACAGGGATCTTTATCGATTACTCCGCAGTATTCCATCAGTGGACGTCGTACTAGCTGCCGGAGACTTTAATGCCCAAGTTGGATTTCTGGAGGAATCAGAAAGGTCTCTTGGTGGTACTTGTGAAATCCCGAACAACCGGATGGAAAACGGAGATCCCCCATTTCATCTTCGCACGGACTGTTGTAGCCAAGCGCCAACATCTCGCTCAAGAAACGACACCATCTTAGTTGGAAACCGCCAACCTCTTCACAGCGCTGGACTCAAATTAACCACATCGCCATCAGTCACCGTTGGCGAGGATTCATTGAAGACTCTCGCTCCTACTGGTCAACACCCGTGGACAAGGACCATGCTCAGCTAGGAGCCAGATTCTCCCTATGCCTAGTAAACAATCGCAGGAAAGCCACCGAAAGCAGATGCGCACAATACAGTGTCAGCAATGGTTTCAAATCGGCAATCGAAGCGGAATTATCAGATCGCCTTTCAGCACAACTATCAGCCGAAGTACCGAGTGAACACTGGGTGCTAATCAACGAAGCAATCCAAATGTCAATCAAAAAATGGTGGATTCAGGCGCATGATCTCAACCTCAGATACCTTTTTGAACGCTCGCAAAGATATTTTCTCATGCCAAATACGACAGCGCGCCACTCCCTTAAACGCAAGCTCATCAGGAATCTGACGAATGACCGCGAGAAGTGGTGGATAGAGAAATGTAAAGAGATGGAGAAGGCTGCGGCTGTCGGTAGTGGTAATCTTTTTAGTTTAATTAGGAGTACGGACCCAAGGGAAGTAGGCGTGAGGTACACAGGGGGTCTGACGGCACTCTGCTTCATCATCAGCAACACTATGTTAAACGATGGGCAGAATACCTTAAGAAAGTTCAGCTGGCCCCCGTCCGCACAAAACCTCCCTATACCGGATTCAATTGGGCAAATACTGCCAGTTGATATCAGCCCTCCGTCTAAAATGGAGGTTACCGGGGAAAAAAAGTATAAGGCCTCCGGCCCGGACGGGCTGTCCTCATCGGATTTTGAGGATGGAGGTTCAGCGTTGCTCTTGGAGTTAACGAAACTCCTGAGACCAATATTGAAGAGGGAACAGATTCCAAATGAATGGTGTGAATCGGTCGTCTTACCGATTTACGAGAAAGACGTCAGACTATCATGTGAAAAACACAGGGAAATTAGTTTAATTAACATTGCATTTAAGATTCTCGAGGGCATCATACTTCGAAGATTCTGTCGCAAATGAAAGGTGCACGCATGAGAACCAGGCTGGTTTTAGACCTGATCGAGGTTGTATCGATCAAATCTTCACTCTTCGTCAAATTCTGGAGCACTGACATTCTTTTCGTAGACCCACCGTCTCTGTCTTTCTCGATTTAAAAACGGCTTTCGATTCAGTCGAACGCGTTAAACTCTGGAGATACCTTTCCTTGAAGGGTGTGCTTGAGAAGTTTATTTAAATATTATGATCCCTCTAAATATATATATATATATATATATATATATGACAGTTTGATAAACAACGATGTTGATTGTTGTTTTTGTAGCTCGGGTGGTATAATATGATTTTCAGTTGGTCGCCGAGCTTGGCAATTGTATTGCAAACGTTGCATCACCAATCGAGGTGACATTCTCAATGCAGTAACTGGGTGAGCGCTTACGAGTGTCCTCTTCCTT